ATCGGTAACTACAAATGCCCGTCCCAGCTTCTCAGACAGGGAGCTGATTTCCTTCTGAAGCTGCTTTGTGTCAGACAAGATCTTAGTGATCTCTTCCTTCTGCTTCCGGTTGTTGCCCCAAATCTCCAGGATGCGCTGGGTACAGGCCAGCCGGGACACAGCTCTGGGCAGGGTCTCCAGCTCAGATGCCAGCTGCTTATAGATCTCCTCCTTCCTGCGGGCCTCCTCAGCAGCTGCCTGAACACTCTGGTGCAGCTTCTGGATCTCTGCCAGCCGTCGAAAATATTCCAGCTCTCTGCAACCCTGGAGCTTTTGGAGGTGGTGGTACTCAGCAAGGAGTCAGACCCGGTGCTTTTCCCACTGGCCTGCCAAATGGATGACCCGCTGTACACCACTCTCTTCCATGAGCTGGAGTTTGGCAACGTTGGCAGCGCCATCTGGCAGCAGCTCCACTGCCCTGCTCTTCAGGTGCAGGGCTTGCTCCCTCTCCACTGTGCTGAGCTCAGTCTGCCGACACTTGGTCTCCACCTGCACAAGGCTGATTCCCAGCGTCTTCATGCTGGCTTCAACCTCTTCAATGTTGTGGTTCACTTCCTCTAGCTGTTCCCAAAGGGCCTCCAGCTCCTGCTCTTGAGCTGTCCACGCGTCCTGTTCAGGCCACCTGGAGGTGACTGGCACATCAGATATCTGTGCTACCTGGGCCTCGGGCTCCAGATGGAAGGTGAACTTCTCTGAATGTGTGAAGAGGGAGCACTTGGAAGCACCAGTCCTGGTCCCAGCACCCCAGGCCTGCAGCAGCTCTCCCAAGTCTCGGGCTTATTGGAGGGGCCCCGGATGGCCACAGGTCTGACGCAGATGCTCAGCCAGGTGCTTCTGCAGCTGCTGCCGCTGAGCCCAAATATTCTCCTGTGTGGGGAGGTGGGATGCCCGGTGGACCCAGTCCTTGTCCCCGGGGTGGTCCCAGCCTCTGTGCTGACACAGCTGGATGGCATGGCATTCAAGGAGTGAGGCCATCCTCCCAGCAAGCTGAGACACCTGGGTGGGGGCTGGTAGTAACAGGGAACTTGCCTGGAACTCCCAGGGCTCTCCTTTGGACCTCAATTCAGGCATGACCAGCTTACTGGCATGGAAAGGATTCTGGGGGGCCGAGCCCTGGAAGTGCTGCAACTTAGGAGTGCGAAGGAGGGGTGGAACCCAGGGCAGGGCCAGCTGGTCCTGAATTTGGCTCCCAATGGCCTGGAGAAGGATAGCTGAGTCACCTGCAGACTTGTCTGCATCCTCAGCAACATTGGTAGGTAGACGCTCAGCCAAGAAGAGAAGTAGGTCCCGGAGGTCAGGCTCACTGGGGTAGAGGAAGTTCTGATAGCCAAGCTCCAAAGGATAGCCCAGGTCCATGCAGGCCTGAGCCAGGCTCATGGCCAGGCGGAAACGGGCGGACATGGCCAGAGGCAGCAGGGGGCTGAGGCTGGAGCCCACTGCAGGGTTGATCACACGCAGACAGCGGACAACAGCTTCTACAGCCAGCTCAGTGGTGAAGGCTCGCAGGGCCTGTATTTCTGGAGGAAATGCTGTGCCGGCCTGGCGCAGGGAATGGATGAGGATCCGGTCTTCCTCCTCCATGGCGCAGCTGTGTCCAAGTCTGGGGCTGGGTATGGGGCGGGTCCAAGCAAGTGAACCTATGTCTCAGTTTTCTTATCCTTCTCAAATACCGGGTGCTATGAGGACTGAATGAGATAACATGTAAAAGCCTCAGCATGCACCCAGTGAATCCGGGCTCTCCTGCTATTACTCACCTGTTCATGGCCATGGCCAGGCCCGGAACAGGTGCTCATGAGGAGCTGAGGTGCACTGAAAGACAGGCTGTGAGAAACTGAATATACACACGGACCATGGCCAGACCAGCTCTGAAAACAGAACTAGGACCCACATCCTGCAGCAGCCTGCCCAGGAAACCAAGCTAGTCTGCTGTAAGTCAGACTCACAGGAAGTCAGACTGCTATCTCTACCAACAATCCAGGAAGCCAAATAATACCCTCTGTAACAATTGGCCCCAAATGGCCAGGACTTGATTACTGACAGTTTCCTTAATTTTTGATCCCACTTCCAACTTAGCACCAGCCAGAGAAAGCCAAATATGCACCTTAACCAATCACACAGGATGCCCCACTGCTAGCAGGCCTTCCTCCAGCTTCCCCAGGCCAATGGCCTCCAAACCAGGGCACACTGGAGTCTTCCCTTCCTCCACTATAAAACTTTCCCACTCTGCTGCCTGCCTTTGAGTCTCTGCCAAATGTAAGTACAGTGGCTGACTCCCTTATTAGAGCAGCTCTAAATGAACAGCCCCTGGCAGTTCTCCTTTGGGTGGTCTTTGTTCACTTCTGCAGGTGTGCCTCACACACCTCTGGCCTGGCAAGCCCAGGACACACTCAGTAAGAAGAGCTGAATGAGCCTTAGCCAGTGTGGCTCACTTGATTGAAGCGCCGTTCAAAAGGTGGTGAGTTCGATTCCTGGTCAGGGCACCTAGGTTACGAGTTTGGTCCCTGGTTGGGGCGTGTACCTGAGGCAACCAATCTATGTTTCTCTCTCACATTGATGTTTCTCTTTCTCTCTCTCTCCCTCTTCCTTTCTCTAAAAATTAATTTAAAAGATTTTTTTAAAAAGAGCTGAATGATTTGCATGGAGAGAAAGTGGGGATATGGGAACACAGAAGAAGAGGGGACAAAAGAGCCACAGCCGGACATTACAATCCACTTGCCCTTTGGACTGATTCCATTTGTGCCACTGTCCTTCCCAGGTTTTGATTTTTCCAGCCATAAAATGGGTAAAGGACATCAAGGGGATGGAATCATTTAAAGATGACCCTGGTCTGAGGGGGCCATGAACCCAGCAGCACCCACAGAAGACAACTCGGCAGGCAGGGAATCCACAGATGGCTCTCTCCCCAACACCAAAGTAACCCCCTCCTCTGTCAAGAACCCAGAAGAGGACCCTGGAAGGCTATGAATTGCTGAGCAAATCCTATTCAGTCCTCTTCTTCACACAGAAAAGGTGAGGGGTTTCTATTTGAAACAGAAATCACAAAGACAGGGGCCCAGAGCTATCTCTGTGGGAGCCCAGCCTCTCCCTGCTGGGCATACCAGAGCCTGCCCTTTGTAATCCAAACGCCACAGCAGCACAGGAGGGAGTTCAAACTATATCCTTCAACAGGCTTCTGGCCAAAAGGGTATCATGATGAGTACATTTCCAGGGCCGAAGCACGACTGCACGGGGCTCTAAGCACATTTCTTTCACACCCTTCGTGGTCTCCCGGGGAAGAGGGCCTGCTTACCCATCCCTGGAGGTGCTGCCAAATGTCAAACCCTTTGAAAGCCCTTGATTCCATGCCCACCCCACTGCCCACACCACTCTCGGGAAGAACTCGTTCCTCTTCCCAGCAGCCCCAGTGTTTTGTCCACACTAGTATCACAGCACTCAGTGGTGTTGACGAGTCTGTTCCGCACCCTGGGCTCCTTCAGTGGGAGATCTGGTCTAATGGCCTTTGTTTCTGAGCCTCCGGCAGGTCTGGAACACAGCAGGTGCTCAAGGGGAGGGTGAAGGAAGGAAAGCACAAGTGAACTCCTCTCACCTAAAGGAAGCCCCCCTGCCTGTGCCCTTCCCAGGGGTTCCGCCAACCCTCACCATTCATTTTCTATCACTCCATTCTCCTCTGAAAAGCAAACATCCAATTCCATCGGCTAGATATGGCTCTGGGGGACCCTGGCGCTAATGCAGGTATCATGGAAAGGCAGCCCTGGCCTGTGAGGTGGGCAACCAGGGTGTATTGCTCTGAGAACCGGACAAGTCCCTTCTCTCCCTGACCTTCCTTCTCCATCCCTAAAATGAGGAGACAGAGACAGCTCTAATATTTATGGGAGATTCTCCCAACTGGTGGGCCCTGGGGCTAAATCTAGTGTTTTATTGCTTTCATATTATGTAAAAATATAAGCCCTGTGAGCTTCACTAAGAAACGAGTACAGACCAATCCCCCTTCCTTGCCCTTGTGTTTGTATCTAGCTGGTGGTCTCTCCAGGTCCTGCCTGTACCTTCTTCCTGAGTCATTGTATAAGCTGCTTCCTGTCTCTCAACTGACCGGGTTTGCCAATTCATGCCTCCCTCTCCCCTCTGGGCTCTGCCCAACGCCCAAACCTCCTCTAGGCAGCCTAAAATCAGCTGTATGAGGTATGCTTGCTCAAGTTCCTCCTGTCCCATCAGCATTTTACATACTGGTTTCTCTAAACAGGCTCTTAGACCCTTTCCATGCCTCTACCAGATAGAGAATTCTAGAAGGCAGGAAGGCTATGCCTCCTACGCTCTCCCTACCTCTCCTGCTCCACCATTTCACAAACATATGCCAAGTGCCCAGGTCACAGCTCCATCCCATGGGTGGCTGAGTAGCAATGAACTCTTGCAGAAGGATGGAGGGGCTGCTCTGTGGAAAGGGGAACAGGCACTTGTCCATCAGAGGAGCCATTTCAAAAGAATCTAAAATGCCCACCTGCTGACCTCCTGCCCATCTCTCTGCCAAGCCCCCTTATCCACTTGCTCTGTGTGCGCCCAGCAGATGAAACACCAGCATTCTGGAATCTTTCACTCCTGAACTGAGACAGCAGCACAAGAGAATAAGGCCAGATTGGGGGGTCAGCAAGGGGCTTGTTCAGTCTACCAAGAGATACTTCTCCTGGACCTCAGGACCCCAAACACCCAGCTGGTCTGTTCAGAATAAGAGAACAACTCCAGGACCCACACCCTGGACCATTAGCCAATCGGATTCACAGCCAGCTAGGCAGAAGTAAGAGAGATTTCCAGGCTTCAGGAAGGACACAGGTCCATCCTCAAAGCCTCCCCATGGGAATGACGTCCCAGGTCCAGCTGATAGGACTGGCCCTAGTTACATTCCCAATAGGTCAGAGCCTGAGGACAAGGGTTGGCCATGCCCCCTGGCCTGAGCTGACATGGCCTACCTCGGAGCTGACAGAATGTGGTCATGAACTTGCTGGTGAGGGACTTAAGCTCGTTGTTGGCCAGAGTGATGAGGTGGATCTCGTCGGTGACATTCCGCAGGACCTTGTAGATGCCGATGGGGAAAGAAACCAGCTTGCACTCGGCCAGATCTACAGGCAAAGAACAAAGACAGACCAGAGTCAGCAGCCAAAACTGCCCAGGGACTTGCCCTAAACCACGTGGACCCGACCTGTTCTCCCCTCTGTGCCAGGCTTGAAACTCTGCCCTCCCTCTTCCAAGAGCCTTCATCACCCTTAATCACAGTTGTCCCTACCTTGTACTCTGAACCTCAGGGTTTATTCCAGCACCTTCTCTATTACCACAGCCTACTAGCCAGAATGTGGAAGGTGGAGCTCTGCTGGCACAGTGACAACCAGCATTCATGGCAATGCCCTTGCGGCCCTGCAAAGCCCGTGAGTCCTTATGGAATCAGCAGACTCAAGAGTGAAGCTATAGTCCTACGAGTATTTTATAACAGTCTACTTCTTTGAAAACAGGCAAGTAACATAGACTTTGTGCCTTGACCTTCTTCCCAGTGCTGCCATTCTGAAGGTAAGTAAGCCTTTACAGAGGCAGCAAGGAGGCTGTGTGGAGACTCATCTGGCAGTTCCTCGAGAATTACCATATGACTAGCAATTCTGCTCCTAGTGTATACCCGAGAGAAATGGAACACAAGGTGTCCACACAAAAACGCATGACACGTGAATGCTCACAGCAGCATTACTCATAACAGCCAAAACATGGAAACAGCTCAAATGCCCATCAACTGCTAAATGGATAAGCAAAATGTATTATCTCCATAAAAAGGGAAATGTTTAATAATTAAAAGAAATGAAGTACCAAAACGTGCTGTGACACTGAAGGACCTTGAAAACAAGCTAAGTGAAATAAGCCAGTCACAAAAGACCATATGTTATATGAGGCAATTTATATGAAATGTCCAGAATAGGCAAATATACAGAAAGTAGATTAGTGGTTACCTAAGGCTTGAGGACATGGGAGGACTGTGGGATGGAAACTAAGGGGTGAAGGTTTCTTTGTGGGGGTAATGCAAATTTTCTAAAATTTGATCATGGTGATAGTTGCACAACTATGAATATACTAAAACCACTAAATTGTATACTTTAAATGATTGAATTGTAGGGTATGTGAATTATATCTCAATAAAGCTGTTTTATACATATGGCAGCAGGGAGACATTGAAAGCACAAAGGCTAAGAAATTAAGCTCATCTAAGTCATGTAAGTTCCTTGAGCCTCAGTTTCTTCATCTGTAAAATGGAGGTATCATTATCCACCTAGCAGGGATGTCAGGAAAAGCATATGTAATATAAAGTACTAAATGAACTAACAAAGTATCTGGCAGGAATGTAGCAGGAATGCTATAGATGTTGTTTCTCTCTTCTCTAAGTGTCCCCATTACTGGTGATCGCCCCCCAACCCCTGAACCCCAGAAGCACTAACTCACCAACTCAGATAGCACTGTCCCATCTCTCAGCAAACTCTTGTCTTTTCCCCGAAGAGGCCAGGCCTCTAAGCCTTTGAAAACTGTTCCAAATTAAATATACAGATATCAATAATATTCCTTTATGCCAGTAAGAAAAGTTTATAAAAACCCTATTCTGAACAGCAACAATAATGCAGAGCCTACAGAAATAGTCAGAATAGAAGCTCTTCTCCCTCACTTGCCTCATAGAATTTCTACTCTTGCTCCAAGACCAGCTCAAATGTCACCTCCTCTAAGAAGTCTTCTCTCACTGCAGTAAGCGGTTAGTTGCTCCAGCCTCTTAGTCTCACATAGTGCAAATGAAACCTCTTCATCTTGTATAGTATTAATCCCTTTTTGTTTCTGCTTTCCCACTGGACTGGAAAGACGTCAGAGCACCGTGCCAGCAGAAGTCTAGCAGGCTCAGGGAAGGGCAGGGTATTTGTGACCTCCCTGAGCTGGTGAGGAAAGAAAGGGGACAAGTGGGGTAAAGACAAAAGTCTAGATGACTGAGGGTCCACAGGGGTCCTCTGTAGGGCAACCTATGAAGAAGTGTCTTACTGTCTTCTCTGGTCCAGGGTTGTGCTAGGTGAGCCCAGTTCTGCTGCTTTAACCACCAGCTCTTATATCAGCAGGTGGGGCTGGCAAAAGAGAGCTCTAAGTCTGTAGGGAGCAACCAATCCCAAGAAGCCAGGCTTTCAGCAGAGATCAGGGCTGGAGCTTCACCAGCTCTGTGGGCTCAAAGACTGTAAAAGAGGATCTATAAGTAGGACACACAGTTATCCTTATTATTTAAAATGCTCAATGTTATTCAATTAAAAAAACAAAACACTAAGACTAGAGAGAGATGGAAAAAGGACGTAAGATATTCACAAGCAAGAAAATATAATCAGTAAACAAATATATGGCTCCTGAAATATACTGCCAATCTGCTTTCTAGAATATTTATACCAATTTACATACATCCTGTCTAACAAGTAAGAGGATCATTCCTTTAAAATCTTTGTTAATACCATCAGGGGTATCCCTTACTTTAATTTGAAGTTCTTTCAATAATGAGATTATCTTTCATAGTTAATTAACCATTTTTATTTTCCCTGTTAAAATCCTGTTCATGTCTCTTGCTATCTTTCTATTTGGAGGTCTGGCATTGGTTTTCCCCCAAATGTTGGCAGAGCTCCTTAAATGGTATTATCAACCTAGTCTGTTGACTGTTTTTCTTGTTCAATAGTTCAGTTATAGCATTTAGATTTTTTAAAAGCAGAATATAAAAATTATATGCACCCTGTAATTCCAACTAGGTAAAAACTATGCATGCCTGGGAAAGAAGAAAGAAAGGAAAATAACCAGATTGTTAAATGGTTCTTACGAAAGATGTGAGCAATTTCTTACTACTCATAGTTATACTATTTGCTTATTTTATATAAAATAAGTATCACTACATACTTATAAAAATGTTTTTCAAGTATATATTGTGATACTTTACTTTCAAAATTTTACAAAAATTATTATAAAAGTAGCTTTTATTGGAAAAAAATAAACTGGCAAATTCAAGGACACACTGAGGATAGCCAGCTCTTCATCAGTTAGAGAAACAGAGCTAGGCAGACCCATGAAAGAAAGACAGCAATTCTCTAGATTGGACTGGAGCAGAAGCTATGAGATGGAACTCTAAGGATTCGGGTATCACTGAGGAATCATACAGTGACTGCAGATTCACAATGAAGATAGAAGAGATATAACTCCATAAGCTATTTTTAAAAAATATATCTTTATTGATTTCAGAGAGAGGAAGGGAGAGGTAGAGAGAGGTAGAAACATCAATGATGAGAGAGAGTCACTGATCAGCTGAGCCTTCAAGCCCCCGACTGAGGATCAAGCCCGCAACCTGGGCATGTGCCCTGACCGAGAATCGAACCGTGATCTCCTAGATCCTAGGTTGACGCTCAACCACTGAGCCACACCCAGCTAGGCCCTCCATAAGCTATTCAAGTTATTCCCAAGGGTCCTCAAAGCAGCTGTCTTCCCCAAGAAGATCAGCCCAGAAATGCCTAGCCCAGAGCCTCACTCCTCCCACGTGGGTCACCCACACACCACCCCAATCTTACAGCACCCCAATTCTTTCAGTCTCCAATCCAAGCAACACAAGCCCTCTGCAGCTTTCTGGCCAACTGCCTTATGTCACAGAGGCATACTGCCCCACACCAGGAGGGTGCTGAGGGCCCCAGATGTATCCACATCTGCTGCTTTCACTTACTCTACACAAATAGCTATTAAGGCCCTACTGTGTGCTGGGCACTGTTCCACATAGTGCCCTGTGACTTCTCTATGATTTCTTTTTGTTATTGGGGACTCCATCTGTTCCCTTCATCCTCTGACCTCAGAACTGCCTACCAGAGGCTGGTGTGCATGTGAGAGGGGTGCACTATAAAGCGCCCACTCAGAACAGTCTGACTACCATTGATGCAAAGGCCCCTAAGAATTCCTGCAAACGGCCCTGTTGGGATGTGATGCAAACACCACCCTGCACCTTATAGGCCACGGCACCAGCCACTGACACAGCACATGGACTCCAATCCCAGCTGAGAGGCTATTGGGAATGGTTTTCTATGATCCCAGGGACAAGAATATGGAGAGCCAAGTCTCTAGACATGCTGGAGCAAACTTCAATCTTGCCCAGTCATCTTCCCATCTGTGCACAAGTTCATGTTCATTCCATGAGAGGTTGGAACAATAATAACCATAAATAGTAACACTATTTCATATGTGCTAGGTTGTAAAAATATCCCCTCTGAACACATGAGGAAAGTGAAATTAAGTGACTTGGCCAAGGTCATATAGCTAAAAACAAGGGACTAAGACTTGAATGCAGATTAGGCTGAGCCAGAGGTCCTAACCATGCTACTATCCTGCCCCTTGAGTCAAAAACTTGCCCACGTGCCTGTCTCTAGGTCAGGTGTGAGATGTCTTCAAGAAGCAGGTCCCATTCTCTATGGGTCCTCAGAGCTGACAGGACATAGAGTCCCTTGCTCAGAGTACTCAGACAGGAAGGCTCTGGTGCCAAAATCATTTCATGCTACTTGGTGATGAATGCATGCCCAAACCTAAAGAGGGGCCTGGGGGTACTAGTGACCGGGGGCAACACCAACATCTGGACAGCAGCTGGATTCAAGTGAACCTCCTCCCAGTTCTCCCAGCTGCTGATATCTGAGCTGCAGTAGAGAACAGAGATGCTTGGGAGAAAGTCACCATAATAAAAACAAGGCATAATTATCCTCATAATTATAATTATTATTGCAAGATGACCACACTGCATCTCCCCAAACCTCTAATTAAGACAGTATGCTGTGCTAATAAAGCTTTTGATTCAACACATGGGCCCTTCATTAAAGGTTATCTTGTTAATTCTAATGAATGCCTGATGAAAAGTAACTGGTGGGCAGAACCAGGGCAAGAAAAGAAAATCCACAAAGTAAAGAGAACATTCTGCCGGAAGTCAGGAGGGTTGATCAAGCTCGAGTTGTTTCTTAGAAACACAGAACTCTGACCCCTGCTTTGTCCCTGCTGAGAGGTGGGCCTGGTGACAGGGCCTGGTAGGGGGAAGTAGAGAGGGTCATGGAGTCCC